CACAACCACAACCACAACCACAACCACAACCACAACCACAACCACAACCACAACCACAAAAACACAGCCACAAAACCACCACAACAGCCCTAACCACCCAAACCACCACACCGCACCACGCACCGACCAAACCACCTACCTACCCACCACCACCACCACCCACCAGCAACCACCACCACCACCACCACCCACCACCACCACCACCACCACCACCACCACCAAAAAAAACAACAACAACAACAACAACGACGACAACGACGACGACAACGACAACGACAACGACAACGACAACGACAACGACCACGACGACGACAACGACAACGACAACGACAACGACAACGACCACGACCACGACCACGACCACGACCACGACCACAACCACAACCACAACCACAACCACAACCACAACAACCACAACAACCACAAGAACCACAACAACCACAACAACCACAACAACCACAACAACCACAACAACCACAACAACCACAACAACCACAACAGCAACACCAATAGCAACAACATCCACATATAACCATTTTGTTCCGCTGAGATTTTCCCTTGGCAACTAACCCAATGACAATCAGAGGTACTCAGATGTTTTATCCATGGCCACCTCAGGCTGTCATGGCAAGGGGATGATGTGCAGGGCGTGTGCAAGTTGCAGTTTCCTGGCAAAAGGGTGGCGACGGCTACTGACGATGCTATTTGTGATTGGTCGGTTTCTGGCGCAAATGGATGGAACTTAGCAACATATATATATATATATACTTATATATATATACTTATATATATATACTTATATATATATGTTTGTATACTTATATAGAAATATTGGCCGCAGCAGCAGCAGCAGCCACCAGCTGCAGCAGGAGCAGGAGCAGCAGCAGCAGCAGCCGCAGCAGCAGCAGCAACAACAACAACAGAAGAAGGAGGAGGAGGAGGAGAATAATAATTCAAATATAGCAACTTACTTTGCGCCGGCACTGGTCCACTGATATGTTTTACAATATCGTCCTGTGTCATTTCTGTGCTTCGATTGAATTCGTCCGTGTGATTTTGTTGATGCCACCTTCGTGTTGCAGGCCTGGCAATAATGCGTGTACTGCCTACATACTGCACCATTCTTGACACGAAACCGTCATCCGCAGTGTCCTTGTGTTTGCACTTCTCCGGTAACTATTGTGGATTTTGTAGCTTTGCCGCAGGCTGGGCAGACATACGTTCGTAATGTGGTATTTGTTACTTCTTGACAGTGTCCTCTTTTGTTGTTTCTGGGAAATCGGTTGCAGTGGTGGTTTTTTTCTCTCTAGCGCGCAAGTTCTCGGCGATCGCTTCCCACGTTTCGCGGAGAATTTGGCGAAGGCGAAGCCTTTTGCGCAAAGGTTGCAGACGTTGTGAGCTAGACCGGGCAGCCGCTTACGGAGAGTCGCTTGCACGACAAGGGCACGACAAGGGCACGACAAGGTCACGACAAGCATTACACGTTTGCCTGCCATCCTGGCCCGGCATTTTGCTGTAATGGGAAAACTGTTGCGCTGGCATTTTTTGGTGGCAGCGTGCGCGTTTCCATTTTCCCTTTTTTGACAATGCAGGCATACCCTCCTCTCTGGCTTGCTTTCTTTCCATGCTGGCACAGTGAAATATTCTTTTGTGAGCTTCTTCGTGCAAGCAAAACATTGTTTCATTGCATCACACGATAAGCAAACTCTGTGCAGACTCCACCGTGGATTTTTTATGCTTGCTTACAAAGAGGGCAGTCGCGTGCCATAAGCAACACGTGTGCATCGATATGGTGTGCCTGCCTCGTGCTTCTGCGCTGTGCATTCTTTGCAGCCAGGTAGCCAGGCAGCCAGGCCAGCCAGCAGGCAGGCAGGCCAGGCAGGCCAGGCCGCAGGCACGCAGGCAGGCACGCAGGCACGCAGGCACGCAGGCAGGCAGGCAGGCAGGCATGGCAGGCGAGCACTTACAAAGAAAACGCCCGCTCTATTGTAAAATATTATCCGCATTTTTTAAATGCTTATGTTTTTTAATGTATATATACCCAATTGAACAAATAAATAGTTTTAAAATTGTGTTTAAAATTTAATGATGAAAAAATGAATTCTAATTTTAGGCCTAAACGAATTATCGATTTTTGTATTAGCTCTGGTATACAAACAAATACCAGTAGTACCGCGCAAGGCGGTGGCGGAAGTTTCAAAAATAGGGGGCCTACAGGAGAGGTTGGTTGTTGTGAATCAGGGATGGCAGAGCGAAGCCACTGATGGATCGAAAGGTGGTTGATCTCTCTCACTCTTTCTCTCTCTTTCTCTGACTACCTATCTATCTATCTATTTATCTATCTATCTATCTAGCTATCTATCTATCTATCTAGCTATCTATCTATCTGTCTGTCTATCTGTCTTCCTGTCTATCTGTCTATCTGTCTATCCATCTATCTATCTGTCTATCTGTCTACCTGTCTATCTGTCTATCCATCTATCTGTCTATCTGTCTACCTGTCTATCTGTGGTGCAGTGTCATTCAGTGTAGTGGAGTGGAGTGGAGTGGAGTGGAGTGGAGCGGAAGGTAGCGGAAGGTAGTGGAAGGTAGTGTAGTGTAGTGCAGTGTAGTGTTGTGTAGTGTATTGGAAGGTAGTGTAGTGTCGTGTCGTGACGTGTCGTGTCTTGTCGTGTAGTGTAGTGTAGTGTTTCCTACCTTCTCGCGCATCTGCATCTTCTTTCTGCTTACTCTTTCTCTTCTACTCTTCTTTCTTCTAATCTTTCTTTTCTCTCTCTGCCTCTTCCCTGCTCTGCTTTTCATCTGTCCATATTGTCGGAAGTTTGACTTCTAAACTTCCTTCGATGATCCATATAGATGTAGATATAGATATTGATATAGTTATAGATATAAGATGTATATGTAGATATAAATATGGTTTCAGGTATAAATATAATTGATAAATACATGACCCAATTAGATATAAGTATATCAAACCATACATGTACATATCATTCCATATTATACAACTTCATTCACCATGGTAAACCATTCATATAACTATATGGGAACGGCGCTGATAGGCGCCTGGTGGTTTTAAGGGTGCGCTCGTGAATTTCCCATTGGAATTGCGTAAGCAGGCTTGCACGCCGGTTTTTTGACGTCCCAAAAGCTACTTCAACCATTGAACAATTTGCTCATGGCTGGAAGTTTCTCTGAATTATTGCCGCGCAGCTTTGTTCTGCGCCACGTCCATTGCCAGACCCTTTGCTCCAATGGTGAGGATTGGGTCACCAAGTCACAAGTGCTTTTTTTTGGAAGCTTCCTTGGGAAGCCAACACTCCAACGGTTTCCAATCTGAATCAATGGTCTGTGTTCCACTGTGTTCGACAATGGGCACTTTACGAATTGTGGAAGCATACTCTTTCTGCTGGTGATTCGCTTGAAAACAAGGAACATTCAAAACCTTCGCAGCTTTGGACCATGCACGAGCACCATCAGCATAGATAGCAGTAGGCCTTTTGAAGCTGACAGCTGAAAGAAGCTTTGAATTTTGGATCTTCTCCCATGGTTCTTGCGGTGGACGGCTTTTGAGCAAGCAAGCCTAGAATGTTGGTGTTGAAATAAACGAAAGGACAGCACATGTTGGAATATCTTCCGGTGGGCCTATTGTTTCAAAACCTGCAACTTTTTTCTGAGCGTAACATCATGAGCGCAACATAAACGTTAACATCCCACCCCACCCTACCCCACCCCATGATCAACGTAATATCATGAGCATAACATGAACGTTAACATCCCACCCCACCCCACCCCACCCCTTGATCAACGTAACATCATGAGTGTAACATGAACGTTACCACCCCACCCCACCCCATGATCAACGTAACATCATGAGCGTAACATGAACGTTAACATCCCACCCCACCCCAACCCACCCCATCAGCAAAAATAATAATTAAAACAAAAAGCAACGCTAGACGACGGATGGCCCGAGAGCGTAGAGGAGCAGGGTCTTCTCTTGTTAGTATGGAGACACCATATTACAAAACAATATATTAAAGATGTGTTATAAGCAGACGAGAAGAGGAGTATCAAGACAATATAGCACAAGACCAAGACAATAGTTTGCATCGCAAACACTTTTACACAAAAAAGCTTTTACACACAGAAGCTTTTACACACAGACGCTTTTACACACAAAAGCTCTTCACACACAGAAGCTTTTCCATACTTCGCCGGATAACATGGAAATCGCAATTTTACCTCAGTTTTTGGCGATCGAACCTCGTTTCGTGCAAAAGGGTTGCGTGGGACGGATTGAAATCGCAATTTTACCTCAGTTTTTGGCGATCGAACCTCATTTCGTGCGAAAAGGTTGCGACGGGACGACTTGAAATCGCAATTTTACCGCAGCTTTTGGCGATCGAACCTCATTTCGTGCGAAAGGGTTGCGCGGGACAAGTTGAAATCGCAATTTTACCGCAGTTTTTGGCGATCGAACTTCATTTCGTGCGAAAGGGTTGCGCGGGACGACTTGGACATCGCAATTTTACCTCAGTTTTTGGCGATCGAACCTCATTTCGTGCGAGAAAGGGTTGCGCCGGACGACTTGAAATCGCAATTTTACCGCAGCTTTTGGCGATCGAACCTCATTTCGTGCGAAAGGATTGCGTTTCGTGCAGTCTCGTTGGCACTGCCCCGCGCCTTCAAAAGAGAAATTGAAAAGAAGGAGAGAGCAAGAGGGCAAGAGGGTAAGAGGAGAAGATGTGAGGATGAGAAGATGTGAAGATGAGAAAATGTGAAGATGAGAAGATGTGAAGATGAGAAGATGTTTTACAGACCCCCACTATTGGAAGAACCCTACGCTCAGACGCTCTCGGGAAAAACACCCAGGCGCCCTGCAGCGCCCATAGCAACTAGTTGTATCTTTGGGGACATTCCATACAAGGTGGGGCCCCCCAGTTATAAGATATTGGAGTTATAAACCATAGTTATTGGAGTTATAAACCAACTTAGCTATCGAACGGGGGCACCACCTTGTATGTCCAAAAAATTCCATTCTCATTCGGCTCGCCATCCCGCCATCAGGCTTGCCGCCATCATGGCTCTCAGTTTGCTGATGATGCTGCCGTGCATCTTCGGCATCGCCGAGGTCGCTCGCGACACGTGTTGAGTGTTTTAGGTGGTCAACGGTAAAGAGCTTAGGATTTGAACAGTCTAACAGGTGAGAGGTGAAAGAGGTGGAACATCAATTTTGGTTTAGTTTGAAGATGATAACTCAAACCATAGGTTCACAAACTTATTTTTAGCCATCAAGGAAGGAATGCACTTGTTTTCTTTTTCCCGGGTATTTGGGGTTCGGCATGTAAATGTCCTTAGCTGCATGTTAGGTGTGCTGGGGGACCCATCCTGAAAATATAGCCCCCTCAGATGAGTTTGATATCAATCGCCAATCCCAATCATATTACAGTAATTAGATTACTATGTTAGTTTACTGGAGGGCAACCATGTCATATTAAGTTTTAAGGAGCTTAGGATATCTTCTTGCAATATAGCCAAAGCAACTGCATTCAACAAGAACATTTTATCGTTCATTGTCGAAATATATCTTCAATCATTTCCAGACAACATGTTATTTCTATAAATGATTAGCCACCTTTTTTTCAGCTATTTTACCATACATATCCAATTAATCATCGAAGGAAGTTTAGAAGTCAAACTTCCGACAATATGGACAGATGAAAAGCAGAGCAGGGCAGAGGCAGAGAGAAGAGAAAGATTAGAAGAGAGAAGAGCAGAAGAGAAAGAGTCAGAAGAAAGAAGATGCAGATGCGCGAAAAGGTAGGAAAGTCGCGCAACACTGTGTTTTTCCCATGATTTGAGGCTCCGGAGGGTTGAAAAGTAGGCTCGCTAAAGCGACGGGTGCGTAGCCAGCTGGCCAGATGAGAGATGAAAAAGTGCACGCCGTTGTGGCGCGAAGCACATTTCGAAGTCAAAATGTACAAAACACAGACAACTTTTGGAAGTTGAGATGTCGAAAAAGTGCACGCCGTTGTGGCGCGAAGCACATGTCGAAGTCAAAATGTACAAAACACACCAGCGTAGGACCACTTTTGGAAGTTGAGATGTGGAAAAAGTGCACGCCCTTGTGGCGCGAAGCACATGTCGAAGTCAAAATGTACAAAACACACCAGCGCCGGACCACTTTTGGAAGTTGAGATGTCAAAAAAGTGCACGCCCTTGTGGCGCGAAGCACATGTCGAAGTCAAAATGTACAAAGCACCACATGTTCGCGCCACTTTTGGACGCTCAGATGTCGTTCCGCGTGGCAGGTGCAAGGGATTGTCGATCTTGCCAAAAGTGAGAGAAACGTGAGGGTTTTGTAGCATTTCCAAAACTGATGGCAGGCGTGGGACTTTTGAAGAGGATCTGCAAAGATGCATTTTCCGTGGCAGGCGCAGTACAAAAGACATGTTCATGAGAGATGTTAGGAGGTCAGGGCGCTCATTTGCTGAGAGGGGTTGCATTTTGGAGCATCAGATCTGCAGGTTTGCTAAGATGATTTTGCGTGACAGGTGCAGCACTTCGTATGACTTGGCATCAATTTTTCGTGGCAGGCGCAGTACTTTAGATAGGTGGACTAGAAAAATCGCAAAACGCATTGGTACGAGGCTGTCAGCGCTGCACTCAACTTTCCATTTTTGAAGGAAGTCTCGCAGAATTGTTTTGTTTTTGATGTTGTCAAGTTCAAGAGTTGAGGACGTCTCGCAGAATTGCTGCGTTTTGGATGTTGTCAAGTTCAAAAACATATGAAGCCTCGCAGAAGTGTTTCGTTTTTGACGTTGATTTAGAAGCTTACAGATAGACAGGTAGATAGATAGACAGACAGAGAGAGAGAGAGATAGATAGATAGATAGATAGATAGATAATTAGATAGATAGATAGATAGATACATAGATAGATACATAGATAGATAGATAGATAGATAGGTCAGTAGATAGGTAGATACATAGATAGAGAGCTAGATAGATAGATAGATAGATGGATAGATAGATTGGAAAGGAATCTTCACTCATCCAGATGGAGACAGATTTTACAAAGCGACCGTGGACTACCCAGCCTGCGGCATGTACAAGGACCCTGAAGGCAAAACCTAGGATGTAGAGCCCACAAGAGCAGAGAGAGCTCACAAGGGCATTACATTTGGATTTGTTTTTGTTTGACTTTTCTGAAAGCCGATAATTCACGCGCATTTGTTGCTGTGTTCACCAAGTCCTGACACGTCCTAGCATGTACATATGAATAAGTATAATAGGCGGTATTGATCCATCACGGGCGGACCCATCCACTGGAAGACCGAGGCTGCGCTCTCCAACATGCTCTCTGGGCCACGTTTTCCTACGGATCTGTAGCCTCATCGCAGCCAATCTCCCAAGGGGATCATAAATTTTGAGTAACTTTGACGCCATCTAATGTTCCGGCATTGGTTTGGCCAGCAGTTTCAGGATTGGGTTTTTCCTCAGCCCTTGCCCACAGACGTTGGGTATCAGCGGCACATAGCGGCACCATTTTTCTGTTGCTTGGGTGTTTCACATTTGCAACAGCGTGTCATTAACGTGGATAGATAGATAGGTCGGTAGATAGGTAGATACATAGATAGAGAGCTAGATAGATAGATAGATAGATAGATAGATAGATAGATGGCTAGATAGATAGATGGCTAGACACATAGATGGCTAGACAGATAGATGGCTAGACAGATAGACAGACAGACAGACAGACAGATAGATAGATAGATAGATGGACAGATAGACAGATAGACAAATAGATAGAGAGACAGCTAAATAAAAAGATAGATAGATAGATAGATAGATAGATAGATACATAGATAGATCGGTAGGTAGGTAGGTTGATAGTCAGAGAAAGAGAGCAAAAGAGAGAAAGACAGAGTGAGAGAGATCAAGCACCTTCCAGTCCATCAGTGGCTTCGTTCTGCCATCCCTGATTCACAACAACCAGCCTCTCCTATAGGTTTCCTATTTTTGAAACTTCCGCCACCGCCTTGTGCGGTGCTACTGGTAACATATATATTTATATATATATATATATTGAGATATTATATTATACTGTGGCTATGCGGGTCATCGCCATCCATCATTGATCCTCTTGCGAGGTCAAGGTGAGATCCTCGGTCTTCTCCTGTTGGTTGGGAGTGGCCTTCATGCTTCTGGTCCAGCTGCTCGGTCAAGATTTAACTCAACAATCAGGTACTGGAAGTCATGGGGGGATGGGGTTATTGGATTTACCCTCTGGTAAACGATTACATAACTATGGAAAATCACAATCTTTAATAGGGAAATCAACTATTAATGGCTATTTTCAATAGCTATGTTAGTTTACCAGAGGGTACCCTCTGGTAATTTGTCACATAGCTATTGAACATGGCCATCTATAGTTCATTCAGCGACTAAAAATGGTGATTTTCTACAGCTATGTTAGTCTACCAGAGGGTATAGCGCATTGTTGCAAACATGAATGTGAAGTATATGTAAATATTGTTTGGGGTTGGACATGGGTACAGTTTTTGCGTGGAATTGCATTTTCATCGCCTGGTGAACATGTCTGATTTCAGATTGGGGGAGTTTTAAACAATGGGTTGCTGTAACGGCAAAATCAAACCCGAAACCCTGGCTTTACCTATTGAAACATATTGAAATAAGAGTGTTCGCCGGTAAAAAGGCTAAGTGGAACCAAGCCTATGAAACAACAGATGGGAATGTAGGGCGCAATGGGGTTTTGAGCCCAAACTAATATTGATTGCACCAGCCAACATGGGGCATCATGAGCCAGTGTATTGATCTGTTGTCAGTGATACTGGGATGTGGTGGTTGTTTTCGATACGGTATATCTTTAAAAATCAACTATAAATGGCAATTTTCAATAGCTAGGTTAGTCTACCAGAGGGTAGATTGACATACTATGAAGCCACGAGCACTTCTGCATGTATCTGGACTGGATATAACTTTGGAAAATCGTTTGTTTTCCAAGACCTTCAACAAAGTTATATTAATGGCATTCAGGTCTGATTTAGTAGCATTCAGATCCTGGAAAATGCCACTAATGCTCCACTACCATGATGACTGAGATTGACTTGTGCTACCTTGTGGCACAATACTTGCAATCTTGTGCATTCTTCCAGTGCATTCTTTCAATGCATATCAATGCATTCTTCCAGCAGTGTGGCCAGATGATGCTTGAAACATCTGACTTTGGTTTGATCTTAAGCAAACTGTGGCCTAGGAAGTTGCATTTTGCAATGTGTTTTTTTACATTGCCCATGGCCAGGGATTTGGTACATACACAATATATATATACACATGTTATACATATGTAAATAGCAGTGGAACAGGTCCCATTGCCACCATCACTAGCTGCGCCAGCTTCCACCTTCCCAAAGTTAAAGATGCCAGCTTTCCCAATATTTCTACTCAAGGGGGCCTCTGTATTTTCTTATTTCAAATCTTCACCAAATATTGCGTTTGTTTTTCACCCCCTTATGCCAAATAGCCGAATTATCCAACTTTGGGTGGGTGGGTGCCGAATTATCCAACTGTGATTTACAAGGTGATGAACCGCCAGGCAAATTAGCCAGGCAATGAACTATAGTAGGTGCTGCTTGGGGTTGCTGGGCGTCCCTTCCATATACTCAATGCTGGCCCGAGCCTGAGATTTTGAGGACAAAAGCAACAATTATTTTCAGAACAGTTGAAACAAACAGAAATTTTCAGAGAAAAACTTTTCGACGTTTTTCTCTGAAAATGTCTGTTGTTTCAACTGTTATCTCACATGGTTCCTACCCAATCAAAAATTAGGTCTACATGGCGCAACCTTGGGCCAGTTCTTTCAGGCTCGGATTGGTGTGACTGTTGAATGAAGATAATATGAACATATATCATCCCAGCACTAAACATCATAAAATAACATATCATTATATTAAGATTCCCCGGTTTAGTGGCTATTCGCTAAAATCTTTGGTTTTGGGGTCGGGATTAAGACTACCAAATTCATTAATGATCTTATTGTCTGGCACCATATGTCATCTAGTTTTCAACCCTTTCACAACACTGGGGCCCCTTTCGCACACAGGATCAGAACGCTGTGCAGCCGAGTCTTGGTGGATGAGGCTTGGTGATGTCATTGGTGTTCACCACTTTGTTGCCTGGCCAACCAGTTTGCTTTCAGCTGGCACCCATCACCAGCAATCCAGCACCGGCACCAGGTTTACAACCAGTGCAACAAGTCTGGGAAGCCCAGCGTGACCAGGATTGGGAACACAATTGTTTTTACAATTTTGGTGATGAAATAATCTTGGAGCAACATGCAATAGGTGCACACAACAGTGATTTTGTGATTCATCAGTGATTCTTAGGTGTTGGAGACATGTGGACACATCCATTACATTGAAAAATTAGACCCGCAGGTCATTTTGTCCAAGTTTTCCATCACAAAGATGGTGGACCTAGAAAGGTTGCTGAATGCCAAACGGCCAGCTTCAAAAAAACACAATCCATCAAAACTCTCGCGACCGCGCAAGAAGCCAGCCAAGCCTGTCGAGCACCAAGAGTATGTCCATGGTAGCTCCGAAGAAGAACCTGTGGGACATTTGTCCCTTGTCCAGATGGTCGCCCAAATCTATAAGAGTATGTATAAATATATGTTATATATATATACATTATATATTTTACTTATAATAATATGTATATCTACATACATATATATATATATATGTATACACATCTCTATATTTGCCCATACATACATAAATATATTGTTTATGTATATATAGATATTTGTATATATATATATATATGTAGAAGTGCAGAAATATGTACATATTTAAAAACAGATATATTTATATATACACCGTGTTTGTAAATATGTGTGCAAATATGTTTCTAAATATACATGTAAATATATTATATGTTTCATTTACATATGTATATGTTTACAAAGTAAACTGATTGTGGGGTGGCTGGGTCAAACCCACAAAATCCAAAGTGGTTTTACAAAGTAAACTGATTGTGGGGTGGCTGGGTCAAACCCACAAATTCAAAGTGGTTTATTTTTGATACATAGGGGGATGTGATGATGAAGGTGGCGATGATGATGACGATTGTCATGGTGATGGTGATGATGACGGTGATGATGTTTATGATGATGACGGCGATAAATATGGTGATGATGATGATGATGAGGATGAGGATGATGATGAGTTCTAATGACGTGGCCATGGGCGATTTGTAGGTTTCCCTCATTGAAGGTATCATAATCACAAATGAAATAGATGCGAATCAAAATCAAGTGCAGCAAATTTCACCAGAAGACATCATCAGCAAACCAATATAGATCCTAAAAATACTCCACTGGGAAACGCTGTGACTGAGGCCTCCCTTTGAGGTCCCAACTACTGCAGAGGACATGCAGCGCCTGTGCTGAATTTGTTTGGATTATGTAAACATTCAGCATATGTCAATATCCAGATTCTACCCTGCTTTATCAAAGTCAATCATTGATCAAATGTCAGGTTGTGGGCTGTGCAGCTCTTGAAGCGCTCTGGGCTCCTCTTTGGGGAGGATTTTGTTCGCGAGAAGCTTCGAAAACTGTTTGCAATTTAAATCAAACATTGTATATATGTCTCATTGAGATTGGTTAGTTGGTGAATGGCCTCTAGCTCTAGCCCAGGATCAGTTGACTGGGAGTGCGTGGACCTATTTGGTGGGTGTCTTTGCATGCGGCGAGCATGGGAGCAGATCAGCATTGCTGCCAACTATCTTTGGGATACCAACACCAAGTTGAAGTTTGGGTTCAATGCTCCTTGATAAGATATTGAAAGTGTTAGAATACCTGATTGCTAACATATTATTTTCCTCTACGTGTGCCTCTGTGAGGTTGAGATCAACAAGGCTTGTGTGAAACTCAGCTGCTCCAACTACCCGGACAGCTGTGTCTTCACAGACATCTTGAAGATGGTCACCCACCCAGAAGCCGAAAATTGGTCACCTTCCAAAGTTAAGTTGAAGAAGATTGCTTACTGTTGCCAGCATAAGAAGCAGTGCCTCAGCTTATTCAGCTACTTTCTGGGTTATCCATACCAGCGTATCTTCACCCAATTTCTGCCATACCATGCCTTATCGCTTGCTTAGCCACGGCCCAGGTGCGAGATCAACCTCAAGAAGGACCATGTGCCGTTGCTGGGAGCCCCGTGCGTGCTGTTTTCCAGGCTGGGTAAATAAAAGCCACAGACCACACATAGCCACACCAAAGAAATAAATATACAAAATAAGCCTTATGTCTCTTCAAACATGCACAAACTTTCAAACTGTGGCGGCAGGTATGGTTTGGGAGAAGGTTTCTCCAACTTGACCAAGAAGAAGGTCCATGATGCTGCCACCAAATTTCAGAAGTCAACTACCCTGTCCTTTCACGAAAATGTGGAAGGCTACGAGGAGGCCTGGTAATTTCAAAATACGTTTTGCCCCATGGTGTCCCATGCAATCCTTGTCAAGTTCTTGGTGCCCTGGCCAACTGGATATCCTCTGGCCGGTCAAGCCTGCCACAGGAGTACCTCAACAAGCATTTGCCACACCACAGACGGGAGGAGGTGACGTCTGAGACTCATAAGGTTTTCAGAAGGGAATTCCCATTTGTTTTTACACGCATGTGATTGTGTTACCCCGTGATCTATCTATCATGTGGGAATATTTCTACTAGTTGGACATCAAAATGAGATTTGCCAAACTCGAATGTGAAATTGACGGACTTGTTTTTTCACAGCCTGCCAATTTAAGCTGATGTTACTCCACTCCACAAATCATTCAAATTGATTTCTAAAATTCCCTGTTTTTTAATTTGACATATCAGGCTACATTTTCGGCAACGGCTGAGGTTGGACCCGAGGATGTTCGGGTGCCCCAACAGGCGTGCTCGATGTTGGCGCATCTGCTATCTTCCTAGCAGCAAGCAGTGGAGCTGCAAGTTTTCCCTCCAAGAGTTGGCTGGCAAACTTTTGGCTCCTATGAATGTTCCACTCAGTTTGGATTTTACTTGCTTCTGGTCCCTTCCTGCTGACGAAGCTGATCGTGGGGATTTGTTTGAAACAGATCTTTCAGAGTGCCACAGTTGCCATTTAACAAGTCTTTTGAAATCAATTTCGAAATATGCTGATGAAATATGTTTATCTTCCTGAGGACTATCCCAAAATTAGAATCTGCCTGTCATAAGTATGTTCCCGGTAGATTCATCTGAGGTGCCAGCTCAAACATCTGAAGCTGTTCAGAAAGGAAGTGCCAAACAAATCCTTGTACGACCTGAGCCAGGACCCGCGCAAACGCAAACGCACAGAGAACATGGACAAGACCCTGCCATGCCTCACCACAAGCGCACAATTGTGGCCCCATGTCTGGTAGTTATTCATTTCTTATTTCTCATTTCAATATGTGATGGGGTGATGACATGTGCTTTTCCAACATGCAATGTCTGATTCAACTATAGGTCAGAGAAGCACCAGCGTCTCATGAGTGGCCGCGAGCAGCTGCAAGCACTGGGATTCCCTGCTATCAGTTCTTTTGGTGGAGCACCCTGGCTAAGGAGCAGACCAAGCATGACCAATCACATCAAAGATCAAAAATTTTATCATTGTGTGGAACACCAAAAAATCAAATGCCTTTTTGAAACAAGATTATCTATCCGCGGCTGAGGATTGCGTGGATCTGGATGATTACACTGAAGCATCTCTTCGAAAGATGGCAGGAAACGGAATGAACATTCCCTGTGCTGGGTTTGTGATGTTGATGGGGGTCCTAGCTGTCACAAATGTACAGTAGCTCAGCACTCCAAAGGATCCAAAAGGATTGCTTAATTTACTTAATTCATCAACATGGACAACAATTGATATCCAATCGGAAGCCTGGTGAAAAAAGTGTTTTCTCCTCAGCTAGTCAACATGATTGGAAAGGGTTCACATCTGTTATGCTCTTTGTGGCCTGCAATTTTTGACAGCACACATGTCTATGGTTGCAATGGATTTGTAGCTCAATGCCCCCTTTTGGTGAGGAAATTGAGGAACCACTCAAAAAGCCACTTAATTTTTTGTCACTCCGCCATGCCCAGAAAGCCCAGCCTTCTAGACCGAAGCCAGTGAAAGTATTCGGCGCCGAGCCAGATGAGACTGTCTCCTGCCCAGTGCCAGCTGCTGGGAGTGGAAGAGGGAAAGGCCACAGGGGATCTGCACCGAGTTTGGCATCCACGGTGTTTGGTTTAGAGCCAGAAGAATCCCTTGATCATCGAGCCCCAAAAGTTCGACGAAAAGATCCTGCAAAATCAGTTTTTGGGGAAGAACATGAAGAAGTTGACAGTTCAAGTTGTGGTGCGGGATTCCCATATGCACCGCCAGAATCTGACAGTGATGAAAATCTCAGTGATCATGATTTTCTGCCAAAGTTGCAATCAGTATTTTCACTGGGGTGGCACTGCGTGACCAACTTTAAGTATGCCACCTTTTGGAAAGACAACATTGATGATCCAAAGGGCAAGCGAACTGTGCGAAAGTATGACAATACTAAGAGGAGTGCAAAGGCTGCTTACGACCGAAAGAACAATACTGGCGTTCAGCGAAAAAACGGAACTGACCCTGCTCGTTTGGAGGCCCTCTTCAAGGCAAACCAATGCCAATGTGCCAAGTCTATATCTTATGAATCTTATGTTATTTTGTTGGGGTGTCCCATGTTTTCCTGTATCAATTTTTGAATAGAATGAAACCAAATATCTTCAAAACCACCACCATCGAACCACAGGTGCAGAAAAGACTTGCTTCAAACAGTTCAGTGGCTCCAAAGATCTAGTGGCTTTCTTGGAGCGGTTCTGGGGAATGCCAAAGCAAGATCAAGATGCCCTGGTGCCTGTTCAGAAGTATGAAATATTTACCCTCACAACTCCAAATTTTTTAGTGCCACACAAATTCATCATTGGCTTTATGTTTATTAATTGGCCATCCCTCAGATGGCGATGCAGCTTTCCAACTGCCAAGAGCGACCTACATGCAACTTGCTAGACCGCCCCATGGGGCGCAAATGCCTCATCAAGCTCATAGGAGTGGGGCAGGACAGAATGACCAGACAGGCCTCAGGAGCGCCGGACTTGCGCTTTGGCCGCCGGGAGCATAGATCAAAACCTGGGACCTTCACAGTTGACGCATTTCTACAGGTGGCTTATGATTCAATAGCAGAGACATTGCCTGACCGGCTCCTTGACACCTCTTACTCCAACATGTTTGAAATCCACAGCCACCTTTCCATCTGAATACCTATGCCTATTTCATACCCTTCCTTACCAATGAGAAAACATTTAGTTTAACCAACATATTTTACCCATTTTTGCCCCAAGCAATCCCATGGACAAGAAACATATTGGAAAACAAGTTGACATCTTACATGTTGCCACTGCTGACCAATCTCTGAGGTTCTTTCGCAGAGGGCGCGCATCCAAGCCCAAGCCTGATCTGGACGATGAAGCCCCAAGTGACTTCGAGGAAATGGATTCCGATGTGGAGAATGTGGATGAACTTCGTGGATGGCTATCAACCCAAGGATGCAAAACACTTAATCTTTTGCCAAAGGAGCCCCTGATACGGAAATACCTACCACCAGGAAATGTAATGGAGCTTTTCGAGCACTACAAGTCAACCCAGAAACTTTTGGGGGGCCACTGTGTTGCGTACCTGAACTTTTCAACAACTTTTCTTGTATTTTGATTAATTATTTTTTATGTGTATAACTGGTTTACTGATTACATTTGGAGATTTTCTGTAACTTATGTTAATTTACCAGAGAGTACTAACTTTTGATGGTCTGGGGACTCTTGATTACACCGATATGGGGTTGATGGTTCGAAGTTAATGTTGCTTGAACCAGGTATGGTACATTTAATGATGTCTACAAGCGACGATGGAAGGAGATTTTGCAGTTCAGACAGAAGAGTCTTTTCACCACCTGTGATGTCTGTGCTGTCTTGAAAGCCCAGCTAGCTGATCGGGGGTTGAGCATGGAGCAAAAATTGGGATCATTACAGTTGTACAGGTCCCATCTGCACGATCAGTTTGCTGATCGCTCAATACTTTGGAAGCTGCAGGCAGAGGCCGCCGACCCTTCTTCAGGAATCATTTTCATTTCCACAGATGGGCTTGACCAATCAAAATTCGCTCTCCCGAGGGAGCCAGGGTTGAGGGCAAATGCTGCACTGATACTTGGATTGAACTATAGATTCAACTTATGCAGGCTAGCAGTTTTTGATGTGAAATCAGTTGTAAAATGTTTCTGTAAGTTAAGATCTGGAATGTACCACAAATATTTTTTTGGGGTATCTTACCTACTCAAGATCTATCCCACCCTGAGGGTTTTGTGCCTCCATGGCTGAGGAGCAAGTACCAGCGCCCACGCCTCAAGGTTCACGGAGCATGGGCATTTGGGTTTTGCCTGAACATATTTGTCATGGATGACCCCAGTCGTCATGACAGTTCTGCAATCATAGAGATCCTAGCAATCACCATTGAGGACGATCCTGGGTTGGAATTTACATGTCTTTTTTGGGACTTGGAATATTTTGAATTTTGGCCCCCCAAAAAAATGCATTTACATTGGTGGAATATTAAGAGTTCTGGGTTATGCAATTTCAAACCAGCATCAGGTTATGCGCCGATGTGATGAGGAAGGGAAACCTCGCCCAACAGTCGCACTCATCAACGAATCTTGGTGCTAAGCATGGTAGGTCTTTCAAATCAATTTTGGTAATATACTGAAACCTCCAAAAAGCTGGGTCAAGAACTTGGTATTACCTCTTCTTTGAATCTGGGGTTATGACACTTAGCACTGGCCTAGGCAGATAATACTGTGAGGGAGGCTAAGAACCAGTATTGCTTGAGCTACATTCACCTCCTTTGTGGACTGCACAGATTGAGATTGGTGGGACTTTGCCATTTGCGGAAAAGTCACACACATTGCCGCATAGGAACTCTGGCATCTACTTCAAAACAATAGTTTGAATGAGTTCTATGAAAACTTTTTTTGGACGGTGTCCCTACTAAAAAGATATGTTTTTCGTTTCCCATTCTGGAACCAACTGAGATCAATGCTCGGGAATCATCAGTAGACGCATTGCATCCCAGTCAGACCTGCAAGACCCGAATGATGTGATTTCTGCTATCAGCGATGAGCTCACAAAGCCTTCTATTCGGGATTGGATTGGTCCTAGTACCCAAGTCAATGTTCGCAAGTTGAACTGCACCAGAGATTGGAAAGCTCATGTCTCTGGCACTGGTGTGAAGCTAGAGGGTGGTCTTTTACGTGATGATGAAGGGAACCATCTTTTTTTGGCTATGCAGCGGCGAGGCCGGCATTTTGAAAACATAGGAAGGGTTGGTTTTTAGATCATCTCACAGGATATAATGATAATATAGCGATATAGT